AGCGTGTAGACCCTAAGGAAAAGACAGTTCAAAGCATGGAATATAATTAAAGAGTTTAGGGTCTTTTGGAGAGACTCTTAGAAAACAAATTACTGGAAAGAACATTAACATTTTCAAATTCTTTAATACCTGAAGAAAGACTATACCAACATAAATCACCACCAGCAGTGAAACGTGTCAGTTTCCCTGCATTCTTGCCAACAAATCTTTGTGCTCATCACAGCTTTATAGCAGTAAGTAAAAAATAAAAATCTAAATACCCAACAGGTGTGGCATGATTGGTAAAGCTATGAGATTTTAAGCACCTAGAAAAAAATAATATTCTCAAAGAATTTTTTTTTGAGAGGTTTTTGCTACAGGGCGCGTACACTCACCAGACAGACAGAGACAGAGAGACAAAAAGCGAGAAATCACCCCCCAGGGGGGATGGTCATGCCACAATCCCTTCTCCTCCATTCTCCTCTTGGGATCTTGGGTACGCATGCACACGCACCCGGCGTGAATGAGTTTTAAGCCACCAGGTCCGGGACACGAACCGTGGTCGACTACGTGGGAGTCCAGCGACATAGCCATTATGCTAACTGCTGGTCCCTCAAAGAATTTTAATATATTGTGAAGATAGAAAACTTCGTGTAAATTTCAAAAAATGTACATGTAAATAGAAAAGCATAAACATAAATCTATTAAAAAATACATTGAAGGCCACCAGGTGGTGTGGTGGTTAAAGAGCTGGACTCCCACATGGCTGACCACAGTTTGAGTCCTGGACCTGGTAGCTTACTTTCTTACTTTTCCTGTCTCTCTCTAGTCAAACTAAAAAATACTAATAAATAAAATAAATAATTATTTTTGGGGCCAATAGGTGGCATGGTGGTTAAGGGCACTGAACTCCCATGTGGCAGACCGTTGAGTCCTAGACCTGACAGCTTGCTTTCTTACTTTCCCTTTCTCTCTCTGTCCCTCTCTGGTCAAATTAATACATTAATTAAGTAAAATAATTCTTTAAAAAAGAAAAGAAATATATTGAGCCGGCAGGTGGTGTGGAGGTTAAGGCGGCTGGGTCTCCCATGACCGACTGCATAGTTCAAGTCCCAGACCTGATGGCTTCAGAACCATGCCAGGCATGTGTGCATATATGCATGCCTAAGATCATAAGAGGAGAATGGAGAGGAAGGAGAGTCCTGGACCCAGTGGCTTAAACTCAGGTCTGGCACATATGTGTATGTTCTCAAGATCCCGAGAAGAGAATGTAGGGGAAGGGATTACAGTGTGGCCATCCCTCCTGTGGGGGGTGAGTTTTTGCTTTCTGTCTCTCTGTTTCTCTGTCTTTCTGGAGAATGCACACACGCCCTAAAGCAAAAACCTCTCAAAAAAAAAAAAAAAGAAAAAAAGAAAAAAGAGAGCGAGCAAGTGAGAAACATATCATGATACTGAAGTATTACTGGGTTCTATAATAATGAATTTTTGTTTCCTCTTTTTACTTTGCTTTCTTTCCCAAGGCTTTTAAAGTAGACATACTTACTTCTATAATCAAAAATAAATAAAAGGGAGCCAGCAGGTGGTGTAATGGTGAAGGCATTAGACTCCCACATGGTAGACCATGGTTCGAGTCCCCAAACCTGCGGGCTTAAAACTCACACCAGGTGCCTGTATGTGTGTGTGCCCAAAATCCCAAGAGGAGAATGGAAAAGGGATTGCAGCATGGCCATCACCCCTGGTGGGTGATTTCTTGCTTTCTGTCTTTTGTCTCTTCAGTAATCACACAGACCCTATAGCAAAATCTAAATAAATCAAAATAAGAATTAAGATTAGTTCTTTAAGAACTGAAAGAAAAGGGCCAGACCTGTAGCATAGTACTTCAGCACTATGCAGGAAGACCCAGAACGTACTTGGGCGAGTAAGGTTTGAATCTTGGCCCTGACAACTTGAAAAACATGTGAGAGGAGCCGGTAGGTGGTGCAGTGGTTAAGGCACTAGACTCCCACGTGGCTGAACACCGTTCGAGTCCCAGACCACAAGACTTGAAACTCATGCCAGATGCACGTGTGTGCGTGCCCAAAATCCCAGGAGGAGAATGGCAGAGAAGGGACTGTGCCACGGCCATCCCCTCTCTGGGTGGAGGGGGGCAATTCTGTCTCTGTCTCTCAGGCGAGTGCGCATGCCCTATAGCAAAAGTCTGGGACCAGCACTTGGTGTAATGGCTATGTCTCTGGACTCCCATGTAGTTGACCATGGTTTTAGTCCCAGACCTGGTGGCTTAAACTCACACTGGGCGCGTGTACATGCGTGCCCAAGACCCCTAGAGGAGAACGGAAAATAAACAAACAAACGAACAAAAATGAAAATGTAAATTCTGAATCTACTCATAATCTGATCTGAAGTATTTGGCAGTCTGTTTAGAACATTATAAAAATGGGGGGGGGGGCAAAAATAAAAAAGAAAGGACATAATAAAGATTACAGGAGTGAGGCCAGCAGGTGATGTGGTGGTTAAAGATGCTGGATTCCCACATGGCCAACCACAATTTGAGTCCCAGACCTGGCCGCTTGCTTTCTCGCTTTCCCTTTCTCTCTCTCTGTCTTTCACTGGTCAAATTTTAAAAAATAATAACAAGTGGAATTAAATAATTCTTTAAAAAAATAAATTATAGGAGCTATAATTAATTTTTGCATTTTTGGTTTGGTTGCATAGGAGCTAAGATCCAAGCATGTGGCTTGACTTTGCCAATAATATTCGGTTGTTAGAAAAGTCATGATGTATTTTTTCCTGTTTTTCTACGCAAAAATGCATCATGGCTTTTTTGACAGCCCACTATAAGACCTTAGGACCTAGAAAGCTGTTACCATGCTGAAGTCTCACACTTCTATCTTATCTCTACCTTCTGGGACCCTCATTTTTAAATTAATTTAAAAATATTTCTTAGAAGTTCTCTAGTTATTTGTGGAAATAGACAAACTGTATGCAGATAAGTAAAATTAATACCTTAACAGTCTCTCTGGTCCAGGTATCTCAAAGCATGGTCCAATAAATACCTAC